CCCCGCTCTTGGGCTGGAGCGCTGCACCGCGCCGCCCTCCTCCAGGTGCCGCCCCAAGCACATGCTTGGTGGGCTGGTGCCTGGAGCCGGCCCTGACAGTAGAGGATCTTACCCAAAACGTGAAGAAGAGCTGTGTATAGCTTGGATGCTTGTCTCTGTCACCAACAGAAGTTGATCCAATAAGAGATATTACCTCACCCACCTTGTCTTAGTAAAAGTAAGAATAGAAAAGTATTTGAAAGATATTTCTGTTTTATAAGCATGGCATTCACACTGAATTTAGGTGTCACTATTTTCTCTAACTTTCACAATGTAAATAGATCTACTCAGGCTCAGAGAACTAATTAAACTAACACCAGCAAAGACATTAACTCAGCCCTCTCCAACTCTGTTTGTTTCATTGAGGTTTACACTTCAAAGCATGGAGCAAACTTTGCCTTTTTATGAACATTGCAAATATTACTAAGCATGGACAATGTGAGGTCTTGTCTACACCCAAAACTTGAACCTTTTTCATCAAAATAGTTTTTAAGATTGTTTTAGCTAAACCTTTGCAAACCTCTTCATGGGGACTCTTATGTCAGTTTATAAGTAGGTTATATCTGTTTAATATAGGCTAGGTCTATACTACCCGCCTGAATCGGCGGGTAGAAATCGACCTCTCGGGGATCGATTTATCGCGTCCCGTCGGGACGCGACAATCGATCCCCGAATCGGCGCTCTTACTCCACCAGCGGAGGTGTTAGTAAGCGCCGCCGACAGAAAGCCGCAGAAGTCGATTTTGCCGCCGTCCTCACAACGGGGTAAGTCGGCTGCGATACGCCGAATTCAGCTACGCTATTCACATAGCTGAATTTGCGTATCTTAAATCGACTCCCCCCTGTAGTGTAGATGTACCCTTAGTCTCGTGCAATTTCTGTGTATAGATATATTTAATTGGAGTTGAAGCACATTTTAAAAACATTGGGCTAAATTCAGGTCTAGTTCAACAACTGCAACTTAGTGTTGTACGTTACTTCCAGAACTTAGCCCATTACCTTCATATCTATCCTCTTCCTGGCTAATTTTCTCCTTATCCAGGACAGTTAAAATGAGCTTGGACATGCAAACTAGCAGCTGAGACAGTTCCCACTCACGCTAGCTTCTTGTGGCTGCTGTCTGAGTGTTTTTGGTGGAGATCCCTTCATTCTGGAATTTGCTTCCAGCACTAGTCAGGTAGAGCCTGAATATAGAGACCTTTAGGATACTGTGAAAAGCTCATTTGTTTTTTGAAGAGCTTGTTTAAGGAGGTGGTTTGGTTTTTTGGGGAAAGGTCCTTATTTTTCTGGGGAAAAGGCAAAAATATGTTTTTATATATGCTAACTATGATAGGCTGTATTTTATAAATCTGAAAATCAGAATAAATACAAGTTTTATTTTTTATCAGTACATTTTATCTGTGAACTTTACTTTGAATTATACCATGGTTGCTTGAGATGTATAGGGTTCCCACAGACTGAATCTCCACGTTACATGTAATGAAGGTATGTTACATATGTGTGTTAAGGGTAATGTAATACTGGAAAATAGCTTCTCCATAAGGAGTAGATTCCAGCGTTGCCATGCCATTAAAAAAAATAAGGATTCCATGATTTGGTGTTCATTGAGAGTCCTTTTGGTGAAAGAAAAATATAGAGTAACACCTTATTTAAATAATTGCCTAATTTTTTACTATTTATATTGACTACTGCCATTATTTTACATTGAAAAACCCAAACAAACTAGATATTTGCAAAATAGAAAACAAATCTAATGTATTGCAATTGGATAAGATAAATTAGTCTTGGCTGAATATTACCAAGGAATTTTGATAAACCATCTCACTTTTTTCCTCTCACTAGCTGTCAAGGCCTAACATTACATTTTCATGGAGTTTTCTTAGCTGCTAGTTATAGTGGAATTGTGCACGTGCAAATCATGATTGAATGTGATAATTTTGCTAATTATGCTGGTTTTAAAGTCATAGGTAGATTAATGTGGTGCTTTTGTGTGTAAATACCTTTTTACTTTCAATTTTCTTCAGATCACACTACAGAGTAGATTGGCTGTGCAGAAAACAAAATTATCAATATGTGTACAACCTCCTTTAGCACTGACCCATGACCAGTTCATCTTTGATGATATAGGTAAATTCTTCTTTTACTGTTACAAAGTATTTTATAATGTATTGCTTTAGCTGGGATTGTTTCAGCCTTATTCTAAGATTTACTTAGTGACCCTCTAAGTAGATGTGCACCAAGCTTAACTTTTGACACATTGATGAGGATGATTATACTCTCTTTTAAAAAAAGAAACGTCAGTGGCAGTCACAAAAACCCAACAGAATGTTAGGATATGTGCAAAATCAGAAAGATAGAAAATAATGTTGAAAATAGTATACAGTCAAATAATGTAATGGTAAATCCTAATTTGCAAACCTGTGTCCAGTACTGGTCCTTCTACCTCAAAAAATATGTGGTATTGTGGTTACTGTGCCTGTACAAAGAGCTTTTGCTGAGCAACAGGAGCGAGGAGAAGGTTCAGTTACTTGTGCCCAGTCAGGCATAAGCTTCCTTCTCAGCACTGCCCACTCTGGCTTCCTTACAGCCTCTTTGAAATTCAGTCAGCTGCAGGCTGGATTGCTTTGAAAACTGCAGAGGGAGCTGCAGGCTCCAGAAAAGTGTCCTAGGGCCTGGATCAGGTTCATGGACCATATGTTTGACAACCCTATTCTAAAGCATCTAACATTGGTCACTGCTGAGTCAGGATAATGGGATTGATAGATCTTTGGTCTCTTCTGGAATGCCAATTCCGATGGTCCTACCACATGTTCCCTAAGGAACAGAGGGCTGATGGCTCTGATGCTATGACCTCAATATAGAATTGCATTTGTGTTGAGTCTATCTTATATTTGCTGCACAGTGACATTTCACTGTTGCATTTTAAGAGAGTTTTGAACTGGAGCATCTTGTTTTGCTTTAAATAATATATATTGAAGAAAAAATTATGTACAGATTTGATTGAATTAGTTCAATGGAAATGTATAATATAACTTAACCTAAAAATATTTCCTTAGGTATTGGAAAATGTTAGGTTTTCTTTCAGTTGGCCGTATTTATTTAATGTACTTTGTTATTATTTGTAGAGTCGGACAGATCTAAAGCTGTAGCTCTGTCTGTCTTTCTGAAAGGGAATTGTCCACCAGCAGAGCTGGAAGGAAATGCTGTGGCTTCCTATAGTACGCCCACAGGTGAGCAACATAAGATTTCAAAGAGTGTTTTTTTTGTTTTGTGTTTTTTTTTTAAAGGTTTTGATTCCCTTATGGTCTGTCTGTCTGTCTTTCTTTCTTTTTAACTTCTTTAAAATATTTTGAGGTTAATAGTAGTGTGCTGAAGAATTTGGTCTTCTGTTGTTTTAGTTAATATTTTATTTAGCACCATTAACTTCCCCGACCTGTTTACAGAGTTAACAATATACATTTACAACTTGGGAAACAGACTTCCCATGTGCTGTCCCAGCAATTTGCTTCTATCCTGACCTGAGAGGACCTCCTTTAGGGGTGAGAAGTTAATTACCTCTTTATGACCATTCAGTCCTTGACCTCACTGCAGAGGCTACCAACAAAAGTGACAATTACTCTCTCTGCACAGAGGAAGAGGATTAAATGGTTGCGGGGACTGATTATTCCTTCACCCTGTTTCCCTTTTAGTCTGTGGAATAGCATTTATGATTGTTTTACTTGTTTAGAATAAATTAGAACAAAATGCGAGTCGTTGCATTTTATAATGACCTAATGACCCCAGGCCATCCATAGTGACACAACAGGTCAGTTTGCCCTGACATCTATTGTCTTTGCACATCTTGCTGGCTAATCAGACGTCATCTAAGGACAAGGAGCTAAGTTGAATGATCCATGTCATGTCAGGACCATCTCATGTTTAAACATTACTACACACACTGTTTAATTCTCAGTCAGAATGTGTGTGTCTGGGAGAAAACTGGGTGACATTTTATACTACTGGTAAAAAGTGAGTAAGTGGAAATACATTGATTTATATCAGCTGAAGATTTGGCACCAAATCTGCTTTCTCTTTTCCTCCTTCCCCACTGGTTGCAGGAACAGAATGGAGGGCATTTCTCCCTAAGGGAATCTTTGTTTCATGTGCTCAGTACTCCCCATACTACCGTGTGTATGTCAGGTAGTATGGGAAGCCGCATTCCTATAATGGGTGTTTTTCTTGATCTCAGGAAGCCTAAGGACCATTGGATTCTTCAGCGGCTCTCAGAAATACTAAAAAGTGTTGAGGACAACATATTTTGTTTTCCTTAAGATGTCATCCAAGGCATTCTTCTGACAGGCCTGGGATTTACATTCTGAAGGAACTGAGTCTGCAAAACATTTTTGCTAGTGAACTCTTAGCTATGGGATTCCTCCTCTCTGGTGGGCCATTAAAGCCTGAGTTAGCAAAGCATAATATGTTGGTTAAGCATTATTTGAGAATGGATCATCACTGGAGAAGTTTTTCCTGTGATGGGTTCAAGGCAACATGCAACATGCTGTGTTTGTGCTACCTATTTTGGCAGTTTGAAATGCAGTTTTATTTGTAAATCTGACTATAAAAATGGCTCATTGTAACACAGATCTGTCCTCTTCAGGCTAGATTAGCTGGGTGCACAGAAGGTAGAGGGTAAAGGATGCTGCCTCATGCTCCAGATCATCTGTGCAAACAGCAGACGCAATTCCGGTTCCTGCATGCTAGGGATGTCTGAGATTGATGGCTTCTAGTGACTGAGCATGCAGTACCTTCCTAAGAGCTCTGTCTGGGGCCATGTGGACATGTCTGCGGACAACCTCTGTGTGATTTACATGTAGCTCTGAGCTAATCTGGTCTTGGGTTTCTTGAATCATACCCCCCGATTTTAGTGATGTGCATTTTTACTGCTTTTTTGCTCCTATGAGCCCTGCAGAGCCAACATAACAAAGAGAGAGTGAGCTGAATGCTTATTTCTTTGCATTATCTAATGAATTATTTACTTTTGTAATAGTTAATAACAATGAAAGAAAATACCCCAGGTTGACTTTCAGATATTGAATCTGTAGGCATTGCAGTTAGGAAACAAATACTTGTAACCTGAGGGTACATTTGATCTGAGATCTTTGAAATAAAGTAATCATAGAACACTATTTAGCCATTTCATACAGAATCACTTTAGAATAAGACCACACTTGAACATGTTGTGTTTAATTGTGGAATTTGCCCAGCACAAGGAGCATAAAATAATTAAATAAAATACATGACTTAATGGTTCAGAAGTTCTGTTCCATCATTAGGCTTGGCTAGTTCAATAGAATTGTATACAAACACACTATCCCTGTTGGAGTTTGTAGAATCAAGTCCTCAGATAGCACTTAGGTCCATGAAAAAATATTCTTTCATTGTCTGATTATATCTGAATAGGAACCTTTCATTGGAATGGATTTTTGTTTGTTTAAATGATCCAGCATTGTGGGTTAAATTTATGGTTGGTGTAACTCTGTGGAATTCAATACAGTTTAAATTAATTTGTTTTTACTGAGTTGGATGGAGTTACACGAGGGATGAATCTGGCCTTTTCTGGTTATTTTTGGATAGTGTTAAGTCGTCTATATTTAGACACACTAAAAAAAACACTTATTGGATTTTGCCTTTAACAAAAGTTACATTTATTTTTTCTGAACTGTTAATTATTACGTCTCTTCTTTGATTCCTCTTTAAATAATATCTTACATATTCTTCCTTTTTTCCCTCCCTTTTTCCTGTTGCTGATTATGATGTAGATCTCAATCCTGAAGGTGAGTGAAAGAAAAGATTTAAACTGGACAGAGTGTTATAACTGACAGCTGATTTTCAATGAAGCAGATTTGGAAGTGAACTGTGAATGTACTTTTTAGGAGATGACTCTTACAAGCTTTTATATCCTCCTTGGAACAATGTGCTGGCTTGGCACTGCTCTAGGGATGACTGCTGGGAATTACGGGCGAGATTGAGGCTTAGACGTAAGGGGAGAATTATCCATAGGGAAAGTAGACTGCACCAATTATGATTTTTTATTGACTTATAATACATTTTCACCTGCATAACATTGGAATCTACAATATTAAAGTGTTTTATTCCATCTTGACGACAGTGATGGAAAATATAATTATATTATTATTGCTTACTGTATCTTTAGCCACCTTTCTTCTTACAGTGCTATCTATAGCTCATCACCTTCAGCTGAATTTAAACATAATTTTATTTAACCTTTCTTATTGTGAAAAAGCCCTCAGGATTTGAACTGGTGCCATGTTATCTGTGCACAGAGTGAAACAGTAGCTCTGAGTTGTGTGAATTGCTTGCATTCATCCCAGTTCTTAGAACTGTTTTATGGAAGGCTGAAAGTTGATTTCTAGATGATTAAAAATACTAGCACAAATGTTGTTCAAAATGTAGCCATGATTAGGACCGGTCTCATGGCATCAAGTGGTGCCCAGCTATCAAAGTAACATTACACAGGAGGATAAAACAGGAATAGAAAGGTAGCTAGCATCTAGGTAAGCTGAAAAAGGACAGTTCTTGAGTTTTGAAGGCTCCCTGTTGTCTGGATATGTTTAAAGCATATATTAAGTCCCTGTGGGATATACATTTGTTTTGCTGATTTTATAAGAAATGTATTAGTTGTAAATTCCACGTTCACCCCAAAAAGAAAGAGAAACCCCAGTTTGGGGATCAGCTGGGAAGGAAGTCTCCAGCTGTTCGATTTCCCATTGGAGATAGGGTTGCTTAATGGGCATGTGTTTGAAGTTTTCTCTCTCTCAGCCTCTCTTTCATTACCCATCCATTTTTTAGCAGTCTCGGAGAGGTAGAGCTGAAGCTGCTGCAGCTAGTGAGTAGGTAAATGAGACTGCTAGTGGCACCCTTCCTTCTCTCTCTCTCTCTCTCTTTTGCTCTTGGTTTTGCTGAAGAAATAGAGGTACTCCAAGAAATAGAGTGGCTTCAGCCCCGGGGAACAGGATGAGGTGCTCTACAACCGCAATTCAGCCACTGCAACACTCCCTATAAAGCAGGAGGAGTGGCTGCAGTGAAAACACTGTTTGTTTCCATCTGTTCTGGAGAGTGAGGCCAGCTACATGGGACCCAGAATGGAGAGTAGAAGCAGGAGTATTTCAAACCATCATTGTTACTAAGAATAGTTCTGCCTTACTGCATAGATGTGTTTATTTTATATGCAATTTGATAGGATCAGACATCTCTTAGAAATGACGAACCAGATCCTGCAACCTTTACTCATATGAGTATTTTTTACTCAAGCCAATGTTTTCCTCAGTTCAAGCATGAATAAGGTTGCAGAATTTTGCCTGAGGATGTATTTATGGTAGCATTTTATTTGGGCTACTACAATGAGTACTAACGTAGTTAAATTCAGCTCAGTCAGTAACAGAAAGGTCATAAATTCTTTGAATATTTAACATCCTGAACACAGACTCAGCTATTTCTTTTACCACTCAAGGTCTTTTTATAAAGGTATAATTAAGATTAATGCAGTTACACTGTTTGCATGTAAGATATAAGTATCATATTTCAAGCAGATACTATTTATATGATGATCTGCTCTGGTTACATTACCAATGAGCAATTCAGCTTTTATACAGGGGGGAAAAATTGTTATCCCATCTGTTTTGTTATCCATTATTCCGGTATTAAAGTTACATGACCTGTGCAAAGTATAACACGATGGTGGACGAGGATGACACATGGCCTATTACCAGAAATAATAGAAAGGGCTCAAGGAAGTTCTGGCTGCCAGACTTTGGTCCTTCTTTGGATTTCCTTGCTCCCATGTAAAATGACTCTCGCACACCCAAAGCAGTGTTCTGAAAGAATTCTCCAGTATAAATTTTATACTCTAGTTATATATATTTTTAGCAGCTTTTGGCTCTGCTTCCCTTTGATTCAGAGATTTTTTTGGACTCTTTCTGTATATACCAGAGATAATTGAGATTTTTGTTTCAGGAAATAAAGTTCTGTCATGTTTAGTTTTGATTTGCATTTCCTTTGCACATGTTGAAAAAATATTATTTATGATGAGGCAAACTGAGAACTGGAGATCCAAGAACAATGGGCATGATACTAGAAAAAATAAACTTGCTTTCAATATGAAAGTATTTCAAAATCTTTGTGGCAAATTCTGTTGAGTATTTCTTGTTGGCAACCCTCTGAAATGTTTCAAGATTTAATATCAAGACCTTTGTATTATGTCATTGAGAGAAACAAAAAGATTGTTCACTCCTTTTTCTAGAAGATTATGGAGAGATTTGTAAGAAACTTATGTAAAGTTTGTTCAAGTCAGCATTTTGAAAATTCACAAGTTGATTGAGAAACAGTTTTCAGCAAGTGTCCCTGAAACCCTGTTTTTAAGGCTTGTCTCTGTGTCCCTGACTGTTTCATGTAAACAAGTTTTATTGCGATTTTTCTGAAGTGCTGCAGGCTTACCACCTGGAGGCACTACCAGACAGTGGCGCTAGTGAAGTTAAGAACAGGGCAGCTGAATGCATGTGTGTCTGTTACTTGGCCTTGATACCTAACCTGATTTTTCAAGGCCTCCCAGTGACCTTGCCTCTGCACAAGTCCGTGAAGCAGCCCTTCCTTGCATGTAGAGCCAAATCCATAGGTAGCAAGAAAAAGAAGTGAGATGTAGGGGGATTCTTTAGCCAAGGAGAGGAAGGTTGAGCTCCTTTTTCTTTTACCTTCCATGCATGCTTCCCTGATGACTATAATAAATGTCGCTTTCCTGCCTTCACATCTCCTCTGTTCCCACCCCAGCCATGAGAGGGGTCTTAATTTATTCACTCTGAAAATCTGGTCATGCTAAACTTTTAGGTTAAATTAAGACCTGCCCAACTAATCATCTGGAATGGTTGTGGAGATCAGGGGACTTTAGGACAGAATGGGTGGTTACTGTTCCTGTGAAGCTGATACTGGTATCAGCATGGTAGACCTTTGTGCATACACAGGCTTTCCCCACATGAAAAAACAAAGATTCCCCTGATGGATGTTTTGGCAAAAGAAAGTGGCAGCTGTCTGCTCATTAGACCAAGGGCTTCCCATTTTACAGCTTCTAGGACTTTTATATCATATCATATCATATCATATCATATCATATCATATCATATCATATCATATCATATCATATCATATCATATTTCAGACTTGTTACCAATTTCAAAAGCATTGAGTCTTGGTTTACATTTGTTCATATTCTTGACAAATTTTGATTTGCATTTGAAAATAAATTTAAAAAAATCATACCTATTAAGAAAAGTGTGTATTTCTGTTATGAAGTATAATTTTTCTCCCATTGTTGCTGAGTCCCAATAATGCCAAATGTAATTTTTCAGCAGTATGTTGCTAGCCAAAGATTGTAGCCAGTTCTGTCCATTTCTGCTTCTTTACTGCATTACCAATGGAAGATAAACTTTAATATACATTTGAATAATAACTCAGTATTGAAGCTGAATAAAAAGTGACTTGCCAGTTTCTTCAGTGCCACCATTCATTTAATGAATAGTTACCAACAGGAGGTCAATGTTGATTGAATGTCAATTTGAATTAAAATAGCTTCCATTGTTGTTTGCAGTGTTGTTGTAGCTGTATTGGTCCCAGGATATTATAGAGACATAGTGGGTTAGGTAATATCTGTTACTGGACTAACTTCTGCTGGTGAAAGAGACAAACTTTCAAGCTACAAGGAGCTACACAGGCCAACCAGTTTTCTTCATGCTTCCCAACATATACAAACAATGGCTGCCTCTGTGAGTCATCAAAGCATGTAAGGACATGTGATATACTCATGTGACTCAGGACTCCATCTTGGGCCAGTAACTTTCCACAGACGGGGGCTGTGGACTTTGTTTGAGACAGTAAAATTCCTTATATATGGCAGAGGATATAAAAAGGCACCTGAGACAGCTCCATTTTGTCTTCATTTACTGCTTCATTTCTCCGGACTGGATTTCTAACAAGAAAGCTCTAAACAAGGACTGATGACCCCCAAGCTGTTTGCGTGATTCCAGATTATCACTGCTACAAACCTGATATAAGGACTTGCAATCACTTGTATGTATATGATCTATTAACCGTTTATAACTCTCTCCTTATTTTCTTTTATTAATAAGTCTTTAGTTTTTACTTACTAAACGATTGGCATCAGCGTGATTATTGGGTAAAATCTGAATTATATATTGACCTGGCTAGATGGCTAGTCTCTTGGGATTGGAAGGACCCCATAACTGATTAAATTGGTTTTCACTAACCACTTGGCATAAGTCTAGTGTCTGGGTGGTGAACCAAAGGTTGGAATGCCTAAGCAGGCTGTGTTTTAGACTTCTTGCTAACCAATGTGGTGATACAGAAGTACACTTTTGTTATTGGCTTGGTATAATCTAATGATAGAATAACCACTAGTTTGGGATGAATCTACCCCATTTCTCAATGGTCTGTCTTGAATTTGGAATCCTCAGCTGTGACCCACTGAGACACCGTGACACCTATACACCAATCTCTGTCATAATGATGGCATCACTGCCTGCCTCAAATATCTACAAATATCTAATGCACAACACTCAGATATCCACCCAAAACATATTGCCAAACTCACCCATTTCATCCTCACCCATAACAATTTTACATTCAGTAACAAACACTTTGTCCAAATCATGGGAACAGTCGTGGGTACTAGGATGGCTCCCCATATGCCAAACTCTTCCTGGGCCACATTGAAGAAGAATTTCTGGACAAATGCACCACAAAACTA